GACAAAAACTCAACCAAAAATCTGTGTAGATAAAAGTAGTAGTTTTAAAGCTAAAATAATAGCTTAACTGTGAGCATAAAAATCTCGGCTAATAAAAATACGTTCTAGGAATGTTTTGCTTCTAAATAATGCTTCTGTGCTAATGTTTTGAGAGCATTATAGACCAGAAAACTTTGAATCAACGTTCTATTAATCGTACTGGAGACAGTAAATGTTTGTTCATAACTTTGAGAGAACCTTGCCAGAGTTCTGAGAACGTTCCCTGTTAGCGTTAGCTGAGAGAATAATTAATAGGCTACACATATGCTCATGTCTACACTAAGGTTGTCAAGATACCTATGGTTTTATCATATTGCCACTAACTGACAGATTTTCTCAGTCCTCAGGGTGGAGCTTTATGATGGTGGGTAGGAGTTCAAAACATTTCCACAGAGAGAGAACTCGGCTCTTGTGTTGCTCGTCTTGTATATGATCTTCACCTATCATGATGTTGATTTTTTTACCTCACAGTTTTAGCATTTCTCACAGGTACTTTTTAAAATTTAAAGTAATTCACATTTGTTATATATGAATTAAATCTATAGACTAGATTTAAATTAAAAGATACACTCAGTGAATGTGCATTAATTTGACTGTTATATTATTAAAAAAAACTGATGTATTATGCTCACTTAACATATATCTGAAAAGCACTTCTGCAGCCATTCAAAAAGTTTATATACAGAAGTAGTCGCAAACTGTACTGCAGCAGCTCAACAGCAGCATTGAATTGACCCATCAGTGCTTAGTTTTGCAGTATTTATTTCCTTTTACAGTGTAATAAATATTACCTGACATTTATCATAATGTCTTTTCTATTTTTGTCAAATCCACCATAGTAATGTCCATCTTTTAAACCTTACAAGGTTTTTAAATGATACAAAGTTTCCATAATAGAGGTGTACCATTAAAAACAAAACAAAAAAAAACATCTATTGCAGACACGATGAACATCATCTATTAATAAACTTCTAATAAACCATTCTAATAAACTTTACATCTAAAAAATTAGAAATCAATCCCTTTAAAATATTGTCATGTAAAGACAAGCCCAGTCATTATCAGAAAATAAGAAGACTGGGAAGAGAGGGTGGTGCTCTCTCACAACATATTGACAGTGCAAGAGGCTGCTCAGAGTCACTTTACTTTGTCATTACTCCTTCTCTGCAGACCTTCCGTCATGTTTCTCCTTTGTTGGATATTATTTTTATTATTGATAGGTAAGATGTACTGATTTTTAGAGACTTGATAAAGATTAAACAATGGAAAAAAATGTGGCTGAAGTGAGAGCAGTTGTTGTGTTTACGATGCTAAAATCTTTTGTTTAATGATAAAGATGAATATCTGCTTTGTTTACAGGAAATTCCTTTGCAAACACAATACAACCATTATACTCTGAAAAGCATGTTGTCAGAGGTACAAATGTGATACTTTCCTGTAACTACAGTGGCGATGTAAACAATCTGCAGTGGTATCGTCAATATCCTGGATCTCGACCAGAGCACCTCATTCTCGTCACAGAATATTCAGAACCTGATCTTTCACGTCGTCTGTCAGCAAAAGCTACAAAAGACCTAAAACAAGTGCATCTTACAATCTCCTCTGCTGAAGAAACAGATTCAGCTGTGTACTACTGCGCCCTGCAGCCCACAGTGACAGGAAACCTGCGAACACTGTACAAAAACCTTTGATATAAAATAAATCTGAATTGACACGTATTTGTAAACCTCAGCAATGAAAGCTTGATGTTGCATTAAATAAAATACTAAATAAAATTTTACAAGTGTAAACCTTTGTCCAATGTCTTTCAATCAAACAGCAGCAACAAAGTGAACAAATCACACTATTATCTTCACATCAAAGAAACAGTGATATACAGGTAAGTCTTATCATCAACATTATATACACTGGGGTCCAAAAGTCTGAGAATGCAATTTTTAATTTTTGTTTAACATAGTTTTACAGTTTTCATTACATACATATTCATTCATTCATTTCCATGTTTAAATTACATCATAAGTACCAGATTTTCTGACTTTTGGACCTCACTGTATCATGAAGCTGAAAAGTTTGAAACAGTCATTCAAGTTTGACCCACAAGAGGGTGCTCTTCTGAGCTGAGAAGCTGCTTCACTATATTACAGTACTAAACTCTAATCCAGCTGTCTCTGAAGATCTTATATTTAGTCATTGAAGATACCTGTATTCCTGATAAGCTACATCTTTCATTACAGAACATGTAATTTATGTATGAATACAACATGAATATAACATACTGTAACCTCAACACAAAGATGTCTGTTGTTGCCCACTTCCTTGCCACAGGGTGGAGCTCTGCAGTCTGATGTTAGACAGCAGCAGCTCAAGCTCAAGCTAAATGTAACTGACTCAAGGTTGAGTTTGACACTTCAAGCTTTCGGTCTACTGAACAGTGACCATGATTATTGTTGTCTTTATTGTATTTTCACTGCTTACGGGTAAGTAATCATTTAATGCTCACTGTTGCATTAACGTCAGTACCAGTCGACTGAACATGTTACAGTAACTCTCTTCTGCATTACTTAGATTTAACAGTTATGTTGAACAAAAATTACTTTAAAACATTTTCTCTTCTCTTCTTTTACAGAGAGTGCTGGTGCATATACAATAGAATCTCTCTTACCAGAAAAGCATGTTTTAGTTGGACAAAGTGCTGTTATCTCTTGCAAATACAGTGGCATTGGGCCCAGATTTCAATGGTATCGCCAATATCCAAGATCCAGACCAGAGTACCTTATTTTTAATGCAGAGACTGCCGTTTCATCCGAACCCACTTTACGTCTCAAAGCGATGGCTAAAAAAGAAATCACAGAAGTGGAACTGGAGATCTCCTCTACTGAAGTCAAAGACTCTGCTGTGTATTACTGTGCCCTGGTGCCCACGGTGACAGGAAACCCTCCTGCTCTGTACAAAAACACAATACATGAACACATCTTGCATTACACAAACATTGTGACACACCAGCTTCTAATCATGCACAATAGATCAATGATGCAACTGTTCTTATTTTTCCAAATCTAATGAAACAGGTCTTTTGATTTTAAGAAAAGGACAACCCATCAGCCAAGATAAAACCTCATTCAGAGGGTGGAGCAAATTCACAAAGTCTTTGAATGTGTGAAAGGCTGTGCATTTAGAGTCATCCTGCTTTGATAAGTTTTACAATCACTCTTCATCAGAAACCATCATGTTTCTGTTTTGTTGGATACCACTGACATTACTCATAGGTAACTAGGCTATTTTAATTCATGATTTAATTCTTGTTTACTAAACAAAATTATTTTATTTTGATGTGCTATATTGTATATAAATTTGTGCACAGGTTTCTTACCTTTAGTGTTAGTTTAATTAATACAGTTGCATTTTATCCATTCAGGAATTTCCTTTGCTGACACAATACAGCCATTGTCTTCTGAAAAACACATTTTCAGAGGTGACAATGTGACTCTGTCCTGTAACTACAGCGGTTTTGTATACAGTCTTCAATGGTATCGGCAATATGTGGGATCTAGACCGGAGTTCCTGATACTTGTAAATGAAAATTCAGAGGCATCTGAGCCTTCTCTTCGTCTGTCAGCAAAAGACTCAAAAGAGAAGAAACAAGTTAATCTTACAATCTCTTCTGCTGAAGTGACGGATTCTGCTCTGTACTACTGCGCTCTGAGGCCCACAGTGACAGAAAGCCCAGAAGCACTGTACAAAAACTCTGATTTCAGTGACTTCAGTCTTTCTACTTCAAAATGTCAATGTGTTATTTGCTTTATCTTTGTAATTAATTTTGAAATTTACTAGTAATATCTGAGTGAACATTTTTTCTACACCATTTTTTAGTGTGTGTGTATGTGTGTGTTACTAACTTTATACTTAAGTTAAAAATTTCCATGAATAATCCAAACCCTATTGTTTCCATTATACAGAAAGCTTTAATTTTATGTTTGATTTCAATTTCTTAAAATGGAATAAATATGCAATATATGTTCACATTATGAGGTGCTCCAGTAATTCCCATGTGCACAACAAAAATTTTAGTTTGTTACTTTAGTAAGAAAGTTTCAGTAACTTAATGTTTTCTATTTTTTATTTTATTCAATTTTTCTATAAACTAATGCCCAAGTATAAACCTTGAGAACAGCTTTAAGAGGGATACATAAGAACCTTCTAACTTGGCAGAAGTCATCATCAGAGGGTAAAAATACAAATACCGTCCAAGTCCTCAGTGATTTGTGAAAGTCTAAATGTGTTTGTTTTCACCCAGAAGAGGGCGTTCTTCTCTTTTCTGTGTCCCTCAACACTCGTCATGGAAGGTCAAATCTTGCCACAGGGTGGAGCTCCAGGCTTAAATCACTGTGTTTCAGTCAGGAAAAAAACACATCTGAGTTTATTTCATTCCATCATGCTGCTCTGTGCACTTGTAATATTTTCAGTACTTGCAGGTGAGATTTGTTTATTTTATCACCACCTCTTTTGATTTAAAAATGTATTGCATTTATCTGATCACAATAGTGAATTTAGTATGTCTTTTCTTTCAGGAGACTCTCTTGGTGATCTAATAACATCTCATGATTCTGAAAAACAAGCTCAAGATGGTAACAGTGTTACTCTCTCCTGCAACTACACTGGTGCTGCTTATAATCTACTGTGGTATCGTCAGTATCAAAGATCCAAACCAGAACTCCTTCTCTCCATGACTGAATCTGGAGATCCAGTTAAAGAAGATCCATCAGCCCACTGGTTATCTGCTAAAGTTGACAAACACAGAAAGCTCATGGAACTGGAAATCAGCCCGGCTAAAGTATCAGACTCCGCACAGTATTACTGTGCCCTGCGGCCCACAGTGACAGGAAACTCTTTTCCTCTGTACATAATCTTTCTGTATATAAGTCATGCTTTTAATTGATGCAAACACATGTACTCTACAGTATGTATTATTTCTGTGATTGAATCAGCCATCAGTAACACGAGCATCTCAATGAATCCATAAGGATCAATAGATATACAACACATATTATCATAGATAGGCGGAGCTTAATGTGGAATAGAGCAGAAGAGCTCAAAGAGGCTTGATACACCTACTTATAGATCATTAAATTCAAACCACATACAACAATGATCTTCATCTGCTCTGTTTTAACATTTGTCTTGAGTTATGGTAAGCCACAGACTTTTGACACCTTTTATTAATTGTATTATATTAATGTAAAGCTTTATGATTTTGGTAACACTGGATTGTTCATCTACTTTGCAGGTGAAGCTAATAAGAGTCCTATCAGTTCAGATAAAGCATATGTGTCTTTAAACGAAGGCAGTAATGCTACTCTATCCTGTACCTTCGATGAATCAGCTTACCGTCTCCACTGGTATCGACAGAAGACCGGATCGAAGTTAGAGTTTTTGCTGCTAATTGATAAATCCACCAAAGTTGTAGTGGCAGCTAGTCCACCTCTTCCACATATGTCCACTAGCATTCCATAATAACAATCGTGTGGATCTGGAGATCTCCTCTGCTGCTGTATCAGACTCTGCTCTTTATTACTGTGCTCTGCAGACCACAGTGATAGGAAAGCTTGCAACACAGTACAAAAACAATGTTTTGATGATTATTTTAAAAGAATAAATTACTTGTACTGAGGCTTTTGCTTATATACAGTCCTCCATGATTCTCTGTTTATACTGCATTTCAGCAATCACATTTTAACTACTCATGGCCACCAACAGGACCTGCAGTGTGACATGCTAATCTCCATCTTTAAAAAGTCATAAACAGCATTTTATAATACTAATTCATTCTTATTTTATTCATACAGTTATTTAACCTCTAATCAATTGCTACATAGAATATTAATTCAAATTGTAAAGAAAAAAAATTGTTGACCACTTGGGAATTATAATGAATGACAAAAATGAAATAAGAAAAAATACATTCAAAAATAAAAACGAGCAATTATATCTCCACCATTTAATATTTTCAGCTAAAGTTTAAGCATTACAAACTTTTTATGTCTTTACTTTAATATACACCGCCGGAGACTTTGAACCACAGGTCACATGAACTGGTTTAAAGACTAAGGTATAAAAACTAAATAACTTTCCCATAGGGAGGAGCTTAAAATCAAGATGTAGAAGCATTTTAATCTGAGGATGTCAGAATTGAAAGGCATCCAGTCTGAATGATACTCAAGTCTCTCAGATTCTTCTTCAGATTTCTGCTGTCATGAATATTTTCACTCTCCTCAGTTTTTTTGTGGATATGTATTGGTAAGATAAAGTTGTATTTTTTTCTCTCCTATCTAGACCTGCTACTTTGTACTTATTTACTACTACTTTTTACCAGTAGTTACGGTTTAATTTATTTAATTAGGCTTTTACTCTCCATTACCAGGTCACACAGATGCAGACACAATCAAACCCTTGTCACTGAATGAAAATAGATTTGTTGGTGACAGTGTTACTTTGTCCTGCAGTTATAAAGACTATACGGGTACTGTAAATAATTTACAATGGTACAGGCAATATCCCAGATCCAAACCGTAGTTCCTCCTTTACATCTTCCAACATGGAGCTTTGAGTGAAGACAGACCACCCAGATTTACTGCTGAGTTAATCAAGACAACAAACAAGTGGATCTGAAGATCTCCTCTGCTGTAGAGACAGATTCTGCCATGTACTACTGTGCCCTGGTGCCCACAGTGACAGGAAATCTAACTGCATCATACAAAAACCTCCCATGTCATCATTAAAGAAAGATGAAGCCTCAGCTACTTACAGTACTTCATCCTGTCTCAAATACCAAATGCATCACTACAATAGCCAATCCTTTAACTGGAACAAATCACATCATGCTTATTCACACCAAAGGTACACATCTCCCCATGACTAAAATTGTACAGAAAACATTACACGTAACGTATTTGCCAGGAGGTGGCGCTATATGACTAACCTCCCAGCCCCTTTGCTTTTATAAGTGAGTTTATCTTACAAAATAATTGTCGTTTTATTCTATGGGGAATTTTTTATTTTTGCACAGATTTTGACCCTGGAATTGATTATACTTTGCTTAATGGTCAATGATTTAAACGTTTGATGTGCAAGATATTGTCAGTTAGTTCAGCATTCTTAAAAACAAAGGTTCCAAAAGGAGTTTTTCACAGCAATGCTATAGAAAAATCTTTTTTTAGTTCACCTTTTCAGTTTTTCTTATTGTAAAAAGCATTTTAATAATCCAAATAAACTCTTTCAAAAAAAAAAAAAAAACTGTTAA